TTTTATCTGTGCGAAATACTTGAACTACTTTCGATTTCGTTTTCACTGATACATACACTTGATTATTACGATTACAGGTTATTTTTTTGTTTTTAATGGAAAATGGAGGTGAGCGTAATGGGTATTGATAGGGGCCTCTTAAACCTACATACACTAAGGTCGTAAGTCCACTAGCATTCTGCAAATTCCTCTCTCAGCAATACTATCGACCTGGTACCCGCACGGCGAATTCATGAATTGCTGGGTTATTCGTCTCATGTTGTATGCTACTGAAGTTGGCGAACCAATTCAAGGGCCACTTTGTGTTTCCCTTCAAATGTGTAGTGTGACTGATGCACATAGAAATAAATGGAACTGTGAAAGCTACACGGCTTGCGATTGTCTCTACAACCAGTGGGACTTCAACGTATCTTGAAATTTTTCATTAAATGCAGGAGTACAGTTCAAAATAAATGCGAGTGATCCCAGGAAGGCCATTAGAAGAATGGTTATCCAGATGTCCCTAAGCCGTACACAATCAAATTTATCTGCATCGCGCCGAGGTTAATCGAGTATAAGGTAAATTGATGACGGCCGGGATACACTGATGGGAAACCTCCAGTCAGCCAAGAGGGACACCATTAAAGTTGATTCACTTACAAAGCTATTAACCGGCAGTTAGTAAATAATTAAACGATTGCAACCACTTTAATCCGGTAAGTATTTCTAGCTCTTTCTTTCCCAAGCTGCTACTTTTTTCCTATACGAAATGTTTAGGCTGGGAATCTTAAATGAAGAAGGAATAATAGGAAAATAATAATTTGTATAGAATGACAGATAGTTCCTAGTCAATATCCCCATTTATCATTTTCGATGCGTCGAGAACATTCTAGCGTCCTCAAACCTTGTATCGTGGCCACCGGTAACTACGTACCTGAACCTGCGGACCGTAAACAGTCACCGCTGCCCAAAATACGTACCTATTTCGGATCTTCCCGATCCACTATCGGTGCTTTTAGGTACCCTAAGCACCGGTCACCGTTCTCGTCGAACCCGTCGCTTAACACGCACACAGCCGACTGAGTTTCTCGCCGGATCTTCTTAGTGGGTCGCGTTTCCGATCCGATGGTAGATTCTGCGAAGCACTGCCCTTACTAGGGCTAGTGTTCGCAAATTTGTCAGATTAGGACCCCCTGAGCTCACCTATTCGATGGAAAAAAATCGTAATAGGAGTATATTCGTATCATCTCACAACTCAGCTTACTTCAACCACAGTCACTACCCCGTCTAATTTTGAACATTTGTTTTTTTTCATTGCTCAAAAGTGAAGGAACTCACAGTCCACGCGGGCTTAAATGTTTATTGGAGGCCATACACGTCACATCACAACGTGAATGCAGCCACCCACCCACCTTGAGACTTGAACTCTCTGTCTCAATGTCTCAATTACCTATGCGATTTTTTATGTGTTTCATATTTACACAACTTTACAATTTCATCGTGGACGTCTTTCGTAAATATGAGTAAAATCCGTAGTTCATTAGAAAGATTGATACCAGCCGGCGGTATTTGATTAACGTACGCCAGACGTCATGTCGATTAAATTTTTCTCAACACATAAACCGATCATACCTGCTCACTGAATGTATGTTTAAAAATAACAAAATTCTACAACATTTTTTATTGCTTAGCTAGAATTTTTTTTTTTTTTTTTACCTCACGTTACTTGCATAGTATTGATTACAGGAATTGCAAAAGCACGTAAGACTACACTTCGTTAAGCTTGCATTTTTATAGCATTGAAGCTACGTGCGTACGCCGACGAAGGTAAAATAATGGGTACAATAATAGGTACACTGGGTACAATAATGGCTTATTAAACGATCGCAGTTTAATATTGCATGAATGTGATTTACAGGTTGCTTTTTTCCATACCTATTCACCGGTAGCCTAGGAGGCTATCCAGCTATCCCCGGAGGCTGCCAACGTTAAAATCCAACAATAGTACAAGTAATAAATAATAGTAATAATAATAGTAAAAATAATAAAAGGTTTAAAATAAACACAGCTACAATATTATTAAGCTAAGCTTAATGCTCTACAATTGGAATTTAATACTATCCCGTCCCCCGAACCTGGGAGCACATAATTCCTAATTATGCAGTACTTATGTTACGGTATACAAAAAACTATTACGCCCGGAGAACACGCACTTATGTATATTCTGCATCACAGACAATCTCTTTTTTTTTATTGGTTAGTTGGGTGGACGAGTTCACAGCCCACCTGGTGTTAAGCGGTTACTGGAGCCCATAGACATCTACAACGTAAATGCGCCACTCACCTTGAGATATAAGTTCTAAGGTCTCAAGTATAGTTACAATGGCTGCCCCACCCTTCAAACTGAAACGCATTACTGCTTCACGGCAGAAATAGGCAGGGTAGTGGTACCTACCCGCACGGACACACAAGAGGTCCTACCACAAGTAATTACGCAAATTATAATTTTGCGGGTTTGATTTTTATACACGATATTATTCAACATTTGTTGAGTACCTACTACGTATTTCATTAGAAAAATTGGTACCCGCCTGAGATTCGAACACCGGTGCGTCGCTCAACACGAATGCACCGGATGCACATATACTGTTCAATACAGTGAGTGAAAACAACGTGAGGCATAGGCTATATTGTCTAAAACTACATTGAAACCAAAGACCACAAAACCTCGTCTAATGAAAAGTGCTCTTGGTAAGTGCGTCAATATTATCACTTTTTATTATTGTCCATCGCCCAGCAACACTGTTTACTGTTGAGTTCTATTTATTGCCTACCTAAACCTTAACGGTCCATAAAAGGCATCGACATTCATTCGCTGAGACAAGTATCTATCGACTAAGTTTATGTTTCGCGGGGCAGGTGTTTCCAAACGTCGTAATATTTATCGTCACAATGTGTGACAATAAAATGTAATTTTATTAACCTTTTGAAATAACTGGAGTTGGTTAATGGTATATTTTTGTATCTTCAAAATTGTTTTTTCTAAACAAACCTGATTTATAGTTAGTTTCAATGGTCTGTTTGTTACTTCCTTCAAGCGAGACAACAGCGCCGGAGTTAAAATTCGATGTGTTCTAATAATGAAAGCTAAAAATCTTATAAATAACGTAATGACCTATGGTACATTATATTGTAACGTCTCACAGATAAACACCATGCCACCTCTGCCGTCATTATTCTGTGGCGGTAGCCATCATACAACATAAGATATTTGACAAATGTCTGAATCTCGCTTAAGACATTTTTAATATAAGCTTGCATATATACCTACAAGTTCCGAATAACAATATTCGGACCGTCGGTCTACCGAGCGGGCGAAAATGATGGCTACTGCCAAATCTCTCCCCTGCGGGATGGCTACAGCGATCGAAGCTCTGAACTAATCTAACTAGGCCTGGTAGTAATCCGGAAATCGCACTCGTCTTCCACTTCCTGTCCTTTTCTCAGACTCTGGTGCAGACAGCAAAGTGGTTGTTGGGGATGGAGTAGGATGAATTATAAAAGCTGGTTTCACACGATCTATTGAAACGTTGTCCTTTCTACCCTGGAGATCAACCTTGAAAAAAAAATCCTGGCCTTTTAATACTTTTTGTGCACCAGAATAGGGCGCTTCAGGGGGTCTGCGAACATGGTCCTGTCTCACAAAGACATGGGTACAAGTTCGCAGATCTCTTGGTACGTAAACCTGTCCCTTGCTACTTGTCGTATACCTATCTCTCCATAATTCTTTCCAATTTCTCTTTTTGTAAAAGCAACAGTGAGAATATATAAATAAGTTTATATCTCATCCACATACCACTTCCAACATATTGATGACAGAAAGATCTCTTGTTGTTGTAGTCCTAGGGTAGCCCGCTGGAACATAGGGCTCTCACAAGTTGTCAGGCAGGTAGTCCTCATCTCGCTCTCTACGGTGCGTTGCCAAGTGTGTACAGGGCGACCAGGTCTTCTCCTCCAGGTTTTCACTCAAACACCATCAATGCTGTATCGACTCCGCTGCGCCGTAGACTAAGTTCTCTTACGACACAAAAAACAATGATCTTCTTATCTATTTCTATACGAAATCACCCATGCGTATCGGTTCAAGAGTGAGCCATTTTTTATTAGAATTGAGGGTTCGATCTCAAACCTCAGCGTACTTACTGGCTTTCACATTGTAATATTTATGGGCTTCGGTAAACACAAGTAGGTACATATGTAAGCTCGTTGAATCTAGAACATTAAAAGTTAAGTGTAATTATAATTAAAATTATCCAATTTCAAATTGAATGCCCAACCTATTCGTTGTGTAAGAACCACTTAATTTTGTAAACATCGAATAGATTTTATTCGATTAAAATACTGTACTTAACTATATGAAACAACATGATTTGATTAAAAATTTTGCAACGGATAAAAACAAATTAATTATCGATATCGTACAATCATCGTTTAATTACAAACCTTGTGATCACACGTATTCATTTCGGGATCACTACTATTAGATTTGAATAATAATTTTCTATAGTATCGAAAGCTTATATTCATATTCAGTGCGTATTTATTAGGTTCTTAAATACATAACAAAGTTTCTACGCTTAGAACAACTTTAACCGATAAATTAGAAACATTAACTCGTATGGCCGATAACCAAGTTTCCCGTTTCAAAACAAATTATATTCCAGCTTTATGAACATATAATTATGTTTTACGGAGATTGTATGAGGTCAATTCTATAAAAAAAGAACTGAACGTACCTAAGTCTTATTTCAAGGTGAAGTGCACTCTGAAAATTTAATGCAAGGACGAGGAATAGCTGACTTGCCACAATCAACTTGTCAACCAATGAAATATGAGGAGTCACCTCCCTTAAGTCATTAAGCTACGTCTTTTCGAGAAAAAACTTCACTTGGTCAATGTTAACTATCAAATTTGTTCAGTCGCACATGAACTTCAGATAAGTCTAACACGGACCTTCGAAAATGTCCTTCGAAATAAAAAATAATTTCTTTCGAACTAGTGTACCAATTCCTAACGGTTTTCCTGTGCAAACGGAGGCGAAATCTAAGAATAAACCCATATTTCTGGATGTATCACCAGCGCCTACACCTAAAGTCAACTCTCCGAATGCGATTATACCCATGAAGAATAATCTAATAGATCCATTTATTAATAAGGACATAATTTATGAAAACATTAAACCTGTTTTCATGGTTCTCAGGATAATGGGGGTTCTTCCTTTAACCAGAACGACTTCAGGGGTGAATGAATTTCATTTTATATCACCTGCGATGGTTTACTCACTCACCGTGTTTATTATTCTTGTTAGTTATATTTCGTATTTATCTCTTCATAAAGTTCAAATTGTACGCAACTCCGAAGGGAAATTTGAAGAAGCCGTCATCGAATACTTATTTACCGTGTATCTGTTCCCGTTGACTGTCGTGCCAATTTTATGGTATGAAACACGTAAAATTGCCAACGTTCTGAACGGTTGGGTCCAATTTGAGGTAAATGGTGATGTGTTAGATTACTTGCTTCCAAATAAATGTACTTAAACATTGTTATTTTTCAGGTAACATATAAGCAACTCTCAAATCGGATTCTTCCAGTTAAACTCTACAAAAAATCATTATTGATTGCAATTATAATACCTATTCTATCAACCACTTCAGTTATAGTGACGCATGTTACCATGGTACATTTTAAAACATCGCAAATCATCCCTTACGTTTTCCTTGAAATTTTGACGTACATGCTTGGTGGATACTGGTATCTTCTCTGCGAGATATTAAGTCTTTGTGCCAACGTCTTAGCCGATGACTTTCAACAAGTAAGTATTAACAGCATTTGAGATTCTGCAGATATACCTAAAGCTATTCGCGAATATTTAGTAACGTTAACCAAACAACATTTTAATGTTTTAGGCCCTTCGCCACGTANTTTCCTTGAAATTTTGACGTACATGCTTGGTGGATACTGGTATCTTCTCTGCGAGATATTAAGTCTTTGTGCCAACGTCTTAGCCGATGACTTTCAACAAGTAAGTATTAACAGCATTTGAGATTCTGCAGATATACCTAAAGCTATTCGCGAATATTTAGTAACGTTAACCAAACAACATTTTAATGTTTTAGGCCCTTCGCCACGTAGGGCCAGCAGGAAAAGTTGCAAAATACCGCGCCCTGTGGCTTCGACTTAGCAAATTAGCCAGAAACACTGGAGTCGCGAACTGCTACACCTTCACATTCGTCAATCTCTACTTATTTTTAATAATAACTCTATCAATTTACGGACTACTCAGTAAAATTTCCGAAGGCTTTGGAACAAAAGACATTGGTCTTGCTTTAACGGCTCTTTGCAGTGTATTCCTACTCTTCTTTATATGTGACGAAGCACATTATGCTTCTCATAACGTAAGTTGATATTTGATCACATTTCAATCTAATCTTTAATGTGTCGCAAAATATGGAAGATTTGAATTATTATCTTCCGTTTCTTTCAGTGAAGTTTTAAAGCGGCACGTTTCAAATCTCACATAGTTTACTTTCAATTTAATCAAGAAATCACCTCTACTGGTTTCTAGTTCTATCTTCTCGAGGTACATGTAAATACTAGGCACCAAATTTTAAATATCTAGATTAAAATAGAAGTATCTGGTATTCACATCTATCTAAATCTGCGCTGTAAGATACTTATAAACGATATATAACCAACAGTAAACATAACATCCTTAAGTATGCCTGTAAATGTACCTATTAAGTTTAATCTATGTATGTACTACAAGGTGAGAACAAACTTTCAAAAGAAACTGTTAATGGTGGAGCTGTCGTGGATGAACACAGATGCACAAACTGAAGTGAACATGTTCCTTCGAGCCACTGAAATGAATCCATCTCAGATCAGTCTTGGAGGATTTTTTGACGTCAATCGTACTCTTTTCAAATCGGTAAAGGAAGCAGCATTATTCTATTTTTCACAGTTAGTCTGTCATTAATTTTAATTGTTTCTTTAAATACCACATCGTAAACCTCGTCACATTGTCGTAGACAAATTACATTGAAACAAGGACTTTGACGCTCTTCCAAACGAAACGCCTATACATATGTATATTATAGCTGTAGAAAGTCGTCAAGGAAATTAAGGTCAGAATATCTTACACTGTAAAATCCTGACTATTCATTTGAAATTACGGGTTCCTTTAAGATATAACAATTAAGCTAGATTTGTCAAGGTTACTTCCCGTTATCACACACTGACCAGCAGTAATGTCACCTTTATTAATATAGATGGTAAATATAGATCAAGACCCATCTGGTACATACGAGGTGGTTACCGGAGCCTACAGCTTTTCAACCATTCGAACCAGAAAAAAGACTGCTTGGCATGCAGACACAAGACACCAGACACTACACACAAGACACAACATGTCCTCCAGCGTAAAAAATTAATAACTTCACTCTCCCACCAGTTCTTATTTTGATTTGTTAATGCCAAAAACAAAATGTAATAATTATTATGTGTACAATATATACAATATAATGTGAGGAGTGGTATATCTTAAAAAGACTTGGATGGATTGTGTGAAAGAGGATCTGCGAGAGAAGGGTGTTTTGTTTTTATTGCCATTATAGGCAGACGAGCATACGGTCCACTTGATGGTGAGTGGTTACCGTCGCCCATGGACTTCAGCAATGCCAGGGGCAAAGCCAAAGCGCTACCTACCAAATTACAGTTAGTGCAGTGATGACATACGATAAGCCGGAATGGAAACAGCATAAAGGGAAGAAAAGGAGGAAAAAGAATAACACCCCGCCCCTACTTTCATTGCCATCAAAAACTTATAAGCGGACGATACAGTATGTTATACATAATACTATATGGTTAGTCTAGCATATGGATAACGGCAATGACTGGCCGTTTTCTATCGTATTTTAGCTCATTAGATTGATACTTTTTAGGTATTGCTATTGGAAACCCAATTAGATAGACGCCTTGGAACAGACATTTATTAGTACCTACACTTTGGCTTGTAGTACTAGCTTTTTACATAACATTATTTTACAGTTACTAGCAACAATGGTGACGTACTTAGTGGTGTTACTACAATTCCAAATTAGTATTCCGGATGCGACGCAGCCAGAAATACCAACAAACATAGATGATCACGTGCAAAATATAACGGACACCACAACAGAAGCATCTTCACCTATTTCAACCTTAATGAGCGCTTTTGCGAAAAGAAAAAATGATTGAAAACCAGGGATACAAATTCATTCGATTTGTTCATTTATAACTGGCCAGGCTTATCTACGACTAGATTAGCGGGAAATTCGGAGTGTTAAAATTTTTAATTACATTAATAAATCCGTTCTTTCATTCATCGATTTTCATTTCTTATCCCACAACTATGTGTGTGACCTTCCATTAAGAAGCCAAGAACGTTGATGCGTTGCCTTCTGGAAGCTCTGAACCAAGCATGAGGAGTCTGATTTTTTGAGAGAACATGTGACTCGCCTAGCTTGCAGCCTTTTCGAAGAATAGAGAATCCGTCACACTTAGTCGCGTTCTTCAGTAACATGGTGCACACGTAGAAGTCGGACATCACCCTCTACAGTAGTGTGATTTCTATTTTCAACTGCAGTTCCAATAGACGTCTCCGACTAAAATGCCCATATAAAGAAAGCAATCAGAAGGTCAGAACATTTAAACGTTACAGTAGTAGTCCCCCAGTAGTAGAAATTCGACTATAATAATCATTATTTTAAATTATGTACCTACATACTAAAAGTTGAACATTATTAAGGTTCTCATTGTCATTGTCAAAGAATAGACGGTAGTCTATTAGGATATAGAGTAATATAGACTTTGCCAAAATTACAGTACAGNAAGAAAGCAATCAGAAGGTCAGAACATTTAAACGTTACAGTAGTAGTCCCCCAGTAGTAGAAATTCGACTATAATAATCATTATTTTAAATTATGTACCTACATACTAAAAGTTGAACATTATTAAGGTTCTCATTGTCATTGTCAAAGAATAGACGGTAGTCTATTAGGATATAGAGTAATATAGACTTTGCCAAAATTACAGTACAGACAAATAATATTAAAGACAAACTATATCTATTTTCAATTTGATCACAGACTTTAATATTATTATTATTAATATTATTAAAAACATATTGGTTGGTCTGTATTAATAGTTAATTATATACTTATGATGAAGTATGTAACGATGACCTAATTTTAGAACTTAGCCAGGAAGTTTGGGTAACAGCTACCCGAGCGTCTTCGAAAGAGACTTAACATCACAAGTGTAGCTTATCAACATCAACATAACATTTAATAATTCAACTATTCGTCCTCGCGCCACCTACAATATAAAATATATAGTTATATCTTTTTGAAGTAACATGCTGACGGTTTACCTTTTACCTGAGGACCTAACTAAATCCTCAATATGGTAGTGACTTTTGGAATAGGCCATGTCTTGCAATGTGCTGACCATAAGAACCCAAAGGACTTAAATAAAGGCTGGACGATGGTCAGCCATCAGCTCTTATGTAGTTTGGAACACGGCTCTTGATATATTAAGTGTATAATCTATGGCTCTTGAGCCTATTTTGATAAAAGGACTTTTTGGCGGGAACGCGAGGAGTGAAGTTCTGTGATTTGTTTTATTTTGTTTATTTAGTGTTTCTTCGGGTTTAAATGTGTAATGATGGTGGTTTATTAACTGTTTAATATCTGTGAAAGTGCACAAATGTGGGAAAATGAAACAAAGCTGCTGGACGTAACTTCTCGGGATCCTCCAAAAAGTCCACTGAAAAAATCTTAGTAAATGACCACCATTTTACTGAGATTATATTTCATTCCATTTCATTTCATTTAATTTCATCCCAGTTGATTAATGTCTCAAATTAATCATCTTCATTCCATTTCACTCCATAATATCATTTTTCATAAAAATATGAATATAAATTAAAATAAGACATGACTTAAAGGTCTCAGCTACCAGGTCATAAAATCCCATAAAATTTTGATAAAAATGTTAAATTAGTGTATAGATAATCTGTGTCAGTAGCGGAATGTCAAACAAGTCTGAAAGGTGAAAGAATTTTCGATTTCTGCGAGTTTCTGGAACCAATCAATTTTTTTTTGAATTTACTAGTAAAGTTCAAAATATTTGAATATTATCAAAGTGAATAACTAAATCAAGTTTCTCAAACAATGGTCGACTACAGCAAATGGAAAGATATCGAAGTGAGTCTTGTAAAAATACCTTTTAAATTTATATGAGTGCAATGACTTACGAGTATGCTTTCTAGATTTCCGACGATGAAGACGAGACCCATCCAAACATTGATACCCCATCATTGTTTCGATGGCGGCACCAGGCCCGTGTGGAACGCATGGAAGAGCGACGCCGCGAGAAAGAGGAACTGGAGCAAAGAAAGAAAGAAAACCAACGACGTCTAACCGAGACCAGGAAAAAAATATCGGAAGCTGATGCAGACAGCCCTAATCTAAATTCATTAAAAAAGACGCTAGCTGAGCTTGAGAATGATGAAAAAAAATTACTGAAAAAGGATGAAGAACTCAGGAAAAAAGACAAGCATACGCCATGGAATGTAGATACCATTAGTGAGCCGGGTTTCAATAAAACAGTGATTAATACAAAAGCATTAAGACCCAGCAATGAAAACCTCACTGAAGAGGAAAAAGAAGCTAAAATGAAGAAATTTATCAAAGAGAATGAGAAATTTTTGAAGCAATTTGGATTGCTCCGTAAATATGAGGACTCCACTAAATTTTTGCTGGACCATTACCAGTTAGTCTGTGAAGAAACTGCCAATTACCTTGTCATCTGGTGTATTAATTTAGAAATGGAGGAGGTAAGTTAAATAAATTAATTAGAAGTAGCAAAAGTTAATTGTATACAGCTAAAAATCCCTAAAATATTCAGTAAAAGCCATGTTACGACTTTTGTCTGTAACTAATATTTCATGAATATGAATACTTTTAATTACAGAAACATGATCTAATGTCCCATGTGGCCCACCAGACTATTTGCATGCAGTACATATTGGAACTGTCCAGACAATTGGATGTGGATCCAAGAGCTTGTGTTGGCTCTTTCTTTTCAAAGTAAGTGCAATACGAATATGATCTATCAAGTCAAATGCAACAACTCGGTGTAGCTCGGTGAAACAGGAGATGGGCGTCTTGGGCATGATGTGGGAGGAGTTAAAACAAACTGCCCAAGACTAATGTAAATGGAAGAATTTGATTTGAGCTCTACACCCCAGCAGAGGGTAATAGGAATGAAAGAAGAAGTCAAATGCAATATTAATTTTCTTATACATAAAAAAATCTGTAAATGTTGTAGATAGAAATATTTTTATATACAGCCATTATAAGATATATATTCATTACAATTATCAGTTACACCAGTTTGATATTAAGGATTAATAAATTGTGTTGTTTTAAATAATATTAGGTGCTTTGCTTTTTAATATATAATTATGAATTACAGGCATAGAAAGCAATTGTTAATTTCTATTCATGGTGCATATGCTGCACTACATGAATATCATCCACTTTGAGGCTTAAGCTGATATCTATTTTTATGATATAACAGCTAAAACCCCCTTGATGGTGCCTATATGTGTGGGCTCAAAGTATCCATAACCAGTTGTAAAAATATAATACAGAATTTTACAAAAAAAAAATTATGAATGTATGTATGAATTTTAACTGTTAGGAGGATATCAGAGTATGTCTATGTTCATGTATCAGAGTTTTGCTTATAGTTTTAGGCTGTTCAGATATCACCACCATTATTATCCAAGAGAAATAATATCTATTTTATTTGCATTGAGTGTAATTTTTTTTCTTATAATCAATATTACCCACTATGTGTTTCATGCATTTAACTTAATACTATTTTGCAATTATTAGGTTTTGTTGCACAAACAGATGAAATAAACTCAGAGAACATCATGCATTAACTCAAGTCAAGACGTCATTTAAATTGGCTGCTGCATAATAATGTACACAATCAAATTCTATTACCACTCATTTCTCATTTTATGCTTTGATGAGACAAAATTAATATATTTCAGAATACAAACTGCAGAACAAGCTTATAAAGATGCTTTCGAAGATGAGTTAAAGCAATTTAAAATTAGAATCAAGAAGCGTGCTGCAGAAAAAATTCAGGAAGCCATAAAAGAGGCAGAGGAAGAAGAAAGAAAGGCCAGGCTGGGACCTGGAGGATTGGATCCTGTAGAAGTTTATGAGGAGCTGCCTGATGTAAGCAAATTAGCCTTTTATAAACTTTTTTTTTTACTTTTTTACTGGTGGTAGGACCTCTTATGAGTCCGCACAGGTGAGTACCACCACCCTGCCTATTTCTATCGTGAAGCAGTAATGCGTTTCGGTTTGAAGGGTGGGGCAGCCGTTGTAACTATACTTGAGACTAGAACTTATNATCCTGTAGAAGTTTATGAGGAGCTGCCTGATGTAAGCAAATTAGCCTTTTATAAACTTTTTTTTTTACTTTTTTACTGGTGGTAGGACCTCTTATGAGTCCGCACAGGTGAGTACCACCACCCTGCCTATTTCTATCGTGAAGCAGTAATGCGTTTCGGTTTGAAGGGTGGGGCAGCCGTTGTAACTATACTTGAGACCTTAGAACTTATATCTCAAGGTTGATGGCGCATTTGCGTTGTGGATGTCTATGGGCTCCAGTAACCACTTAACACCAGGTGGGCTGTGAGCTCGTCCACCCATCTAAGCAAGAAGAAAAAATTACCTAATTAACCATTTGCACTCAAATGGCGCCTATACTATAAATGAACAAAATGACGAAATTTTATTATCTGTATATGCTTGTTAGTTTATGAATGGGTAAAGTATAGTTCAAAAATATAATTAATTATTTTATAAACCTATATTCATCATAATTATCAGTCCACAAACGTTCACTGCTTGATGTAGGCCTTGAGGGAAGGTTCGCCTCACGACAGGCCCTACTGGTCATCATTCTCGTCGAACGTTTCTGGTCCCGTGGTAGATTCTGCAAAGCACTGCTCTTGCTAGGGTTCGTGTTAGTAACGTCGTCAGGTTTGAGCCCCGTGAGCTCACCTACTAGCTGGGCGAATCTAGAATAACCCCTCGAGGTTACTAGAGAAGATAGGAAAAAAAAACAGGATGTCCTATGGAGGCAGATATTAGGATTTTATAAAAGTAAATAACATTTACCATATCAAATTTTAGTGTGATAATGAACTTTTCACAGCGATTCTCTTAAAAATCAAACCTGTAATGTTTGCTTGATGCTTAAATAATACAACATACAAAGACAATGATAAAAAAATCGTAATCTGAAGTCAGTTTTTCTATTGCTGTAATTGCTGAGAACCCTCATGGCTTAACCTGATGTCAAGATAATAATATGTATAATTAATGTCACCAGTTGCAATCAGACCCTAGGTCAAGGTCTCAAACTGTTTACATAATAGATATTTTGATTTTACCATATTAAATATATTTGAATGAAAAAAATATATAATTTTATAACATACTTTTTTTCTTATGATGTTTCTTCCATCCATGCTGTCAACCATATCTGCCTGTCATATTTTGGTTTACTGATGCAGGGGACATTTTGTTTAATTACATGTTTACAAAAGGCAGGTAAATGATAATCAACAATGCAGTATTAATAATGGTGCTGGGAATAAACACCCATACAATCATTATTTTTTAATTTATTAAATTATTCTTCTGAAGACTGTACAAATTTGGTAAATAAAGAAATGTAAAAAATAATATCCATTGAATTGCATACACATAATATATATATTTTTTTAATTAAAGGAATTGAAAAAGTGCTTTGATGCCCAAGATGTTCCAATGCTGCAAGCTACCATTGCCAAAATTCCTCAAGAAGAAGCAATTTATTACATGAACAGATGTATAGCTTCCGGGCTCTGGGTACCTGGCAAAAATGATGAGGAACCCACCATGAAGGATTCCAAAACTGAAAAGCATTCAGGGGAAACTTCTACCAATGCTAATGATGTTGACTGAGATTAGGTGTGTAAATTTTACTTTCAGTGTAGATTGAAAGTTTCAAAATTTGAATTTTTCATTTTGATGCAGAAGACTATATATTTAGTTAATTTAAGATAAAAACCCTGTTAGTATTATTTTTATAACAAATGTCTGAGAAGTATTCCACAAAATAAAGTTATCATCGACATCTGACAGACTCCAATAAATAAAGTGTACAACATTAACACCAAAATACATACGTGTCTTATGTAAGTGACATTCAGTAAAAATATATTTATCATTACTATGCTGTTTTATTTCAATTCCAATAATCTTTTCGAAACTCAAATTCTGTACCCTTGAATCAGTGTGTCCTACTGTTATAAATTTCGTTTAAATAGGCTTATCTCTTATCTTATCGTCATATGTGTAAATATTAACTATTTATATACGATCTATACCAAATCGACGTTATAGAAAAATAAAAAAAAATCGTCTTTAAACTTGTACTTTTTATATAACAAAACTACAATAGAGTGAGAGGCGTGGATGCGCTACGTGAGCACATGGGGCGGTAACTGCGGCCGACCCTCCAGCTTGCTGTAATCCAAATGAAACTCTTTCGGCACCTGTAGAAATCATAAAAATGTTTTTATTAAGGATGCACATGCAATTTAGTAATTTTAACTATTATACTGGTTGTTAATGAAATCATTTTAAATGTACTGTAAGCATGTTATATGATTAATATTTAAAATAATTGAAAGGGTCAAAAAAATACATAATATGTATTTATGCTTAGTTGATTTCCACTAACATTAATACAGTTCTTTATTGTAGTCAGTCAGCATTTGCAATGTTACTTATTAGTCTAGCAACCCAAAGTTCTGCATTACATTTACCACCAAACTGGAGATATGACTCAAAAACGCAACTTCCTTAATAAACTAAGAATGAGCGCTTTGAAGTTGACATTGGAAGAACTAAAAATTTTGAAATTTATAGCTGTATGCTGTAACTGGACTTTGAATGTGAGTTTAAAACTTATTCAAAAACTACCTTTCTCCAATTGTGCGCATCGAAGAAGTAGTAGGTGCCGCGTTCGTACGTTGAAGTCTTCTCGACCATTGGCATGCCGGGCGCTTGTGAGATCCACACCTTCTCCTCCATATGATATCGCCATTCGCGATTGTATCTGCAAAATTGGAGTATTACTTGTTTTGGATTTAAATATGTTTGGGACGAGGAAAACGATAAATTTTAGGACTCAGTCCATAGCTCGTTGATGCACTATTCTATTTTCTCACTGGCGAGAGTTATATGTGCTGATTGACAACAACAAATCACAATTTTATCGTTTTTGCACCGGCACCATGTTTTCGTTTTTTTTTTTTCACACTTTTCGCGCCGTTTTTATACGCGTAGTTTTATTATAGTGTTAACGGCGTGGATAGGGGATTAAGGCAGATATAAGGAAAAGGAAGTCCCAAACATTACATTTTATGAGAAAACAGAATATTCCCCAAAATCTATTCCGCTATTTATCAGAGAATACATATATCGACGCTTGAAAGGCAAACATGACTAGCGACAATAACTGTTTGTACATAAATGATAGGCAATAACCATATTCGATGCGCAAAAAATATATATTTCTAGGTCTATTCAAATAATTTCAATCCTACAGCTATTAGCTAGATTCTACCACAGCTAGATTCGTTAAAATAAATTTTGTTTTCAGGTATTTCAACTTTAAATTAGTCTGCTGTAAAGTTACACATTGTCGCTTAGTCACGTTTGCCTTTCAAGCGTCGATATGTTGATCTACATTTTAAATAGAAGTCAATTTAACCATTCCTCTTTATTAAAAATTTAATTAAATTATTTAGAGAATATGAGATGTAAAAGATTATGCACAAAAATATAAGAATGAGCCGAGCAGGAGAAAACCAGCGATAATCGATATAGGTGGCTAAGTACATAATTGTATTTTATGACGGATTATATTTACATAGTGTTCTGGTAAGGCTGACACCCATAATGTATAAATACACATTCATTCACATGCAGTACTTTACACAACTAATGTTAGGGTTGTCAGCTGAAACCTAAGTTTGAATCCCACTGATGGTAGGCCTTATCAGATTAGAGGCTAAACAACACACTATAGTTAAAGGTTATGTAATTAAATAATATGAGTCGTCTATTATCAAAGGTGGCAATCTGTGCATTTGGACAAAAAAAATTATTGATATGTCAATACAGATTGATTTGGATATAATCGTCTCCTTCAAAGAATACGGTTCAAAACCTGCATTAAATAAAGGTTAATACTTAACCTGTTATTTATCTAAGATGTCGTTCAGAAGAGTTTTGTGACTGCCAACGGAATACAAAGTCAATAATTCGTTTTTCTGATTTACCAATAATTGTCCAAAAGTCACATTGCCGGCTTTGATAATAGTCGACTCATATATCAAAAATACATACAACTCTGCTGCAGCCGCAATTTGTAAAACGTCACCAACGAAACAGTAGAACAAATAGAATAATAGATCTTCTTTATATCTTCCGAGTCGTAGAGGCGCTAGTTTTTCTCTTATTGAACCATTAATTAGATATTCGGGAGGTACGTGATAATCCATGTCCTGTGGTCTGTAAATTTGAAAACGAAATGGATGTATGTGTTGCTAAACCTTTTGTATCACTATGAAAATAAGTATAAATAGTCAAATCTAAATTTATTTATCGCTTTAAAGAGCATTACTTTATAAGTATCATTTCAAGCAATAAATTACCTGCAAGGCGTATCCGCCCATGGGCCAGCAAACGTCAAGTTAAGGTTATCAGGTGAATTTAAATTCAATCCTAAAGCAGTCAAATCCTGTCCCAATGCTAGCGATACTAGACTAGGGTCCGATTCCGCAGCACGGATAAAAGTCAATAGACCGACTATTCCAAATTGGTTTGGTATCATTGTATCCGGTATGTTTGTTACTTTGCCTGTAGAAATCAACAATAAATCAAATTATTATGTTGCCCTTTATTTTGACCTACTTAATAAAACTTTGGAAATGTAGTAAATTTGCTTTCCGAATGCGTGCATTCAAGCAATTTAAAACATTTCCATGGAGAATGTACTGTACCGTAAAATTCCATATTATGCGCTCCTTGATTGACAACTTAGGGAGAGAAAATAAAGACATGTCAGATCAGTATACATTTTTGTGTTTGATTTACATTTTTAATGAAAAATAAAAATAGCATTAGATCATGGGTTCAAAATTATACACCAACTGAGTATACTACACAAGTTTTACTTAAGTACACTTTTTAAAACAATTATGAAAAATATTTGTAAGTTGATGGCAAAAATTGTCAAAATAATAGGTTGGGGAAAAAGTGTTTTCGCTTTATAGTATGTATGAACTTGTAATAAAATATCATTAAAAGTTAAAATTTTAAAGAAGAGGAACATGTGTGATTTTATTTATTTTTCGTACTGTCAAGACGAGTGAATCTAATGAAGAAACTCGATACATTTTAAAATTTTACTACAAAAAAGGTAAAAATGCAACGCAAGCCGCAATAGTACATTGTCCCTGAGGAGCGCGAAAGGGAGTGGGATCCCTCTTCAGCATCTCAGCGCAGAAGGCGGGATGGGCGGCGCGGGCGTGAAGCACCCGCTCAGCCCCCGTAGGGACTATCAATATCAGGTGCGGGGGCGCCCGGTACTCGACTGTCGGTCCAGTGGTGGGGCGGTGCAAGGTGGCTCCTGTGCGCCGCCCACGGTGTATCTCCCGAAACGACGTCCTTCGGGATTTTCCCGGAGATGAAATCCCGTCTTATCATCAGGACGGGTACCGGCGAAGGCGGACTTTTGGCTCGCACTGCGGTACCATAGGTCTGGTGTAGCCGGTGTGGTGGAGCTCGATGAGGTTTAGTCGGTAGTCGTTCTTCGGGGCAAGTGCTTCGCGCGCCTTTTTCAAGGCGTAGTCTCCTGCGAGGAATTCGGGGAGGTGGAGGACCTTGGCCCTCCTCGTCCCCCTCTTCCTCTCAGGAGGCGCCGGAGTCCAACATAGCCCGGTTCGTTACCCCCCGGACCGGGTATCCGTAAATGGATTCCCCAGCGTCAAAAAAAAGGGGGGGGCGGAGCCCCGCCGTACTCATAAAAAAAACAATTTAACTGTTTTTAATTTTTAAATAAACTATTACTAATTGAATAAGAACTGTCTAATGAACTCATCTTTGTTTAATACTTCACTATAAAATTTTATTGCCTTTTGTTTATTTCACTTTTACACTAAACACAATATTGCAAATTACCCGAGCACAACAATGGCGGAGAATTTGAGGTGCGTGAGAGCAGACCTAGACACTAAAGCGCATGCGCACTTGTACCCAGGGAGAAAAAGTTACACTTTCTTCCCTGTACAGCGGGAGGAAAAGTTACACTTTCTTCCCTGTATAGCGGGACGAAAACCGAACTTTCGGCGTAGATAGGAGAAAATTTTTTTTGCTATGTTTATGGACCTAGTGCAGTGTCTATGAGAGTAGCACAAGTTTGGTTTAAGTGTTTTCAATCCGGAAATGTTGATGTCAAAGATGAACGTCGCTCTGGTCGCCCTATTACGGATAAAATGGATCAGTAGTTAGGACGTAGCTGAAGAACTGGGAATCGACCACAAAACAGTTTTGGCGCATTTGAAACAAACTGGGTACACAAAAAAGCTTGATATTTGGATGAAAGGAACCTAATGAACCGTGTACTAATTTGTGATTCTTTTTTACGACGTAATGAAACCGAACCATTTTTGAAGAAGCTGATAGCTGGTGATGAAAAGTGGATCACGTACGACAAGAACGTGCGAAAAAGGTCGTGGTCAAAGGCCGGTCGGGCTTCACGGACTGTGGTGAAACTCGGATTAACTCGCAACAAGGTGATGCTGTGTGTGTGGTGGAATTGGAAGAGCATGAGCTGTTACCAACAGGCAGGACCATCGATTCTGAACTCTACTACGAACAACTGATGAGATTAAAGCAAGAAGTTGAGAAAAAGCGGCCGGAATTAATCAACAGAAGGGGTGTGGTTTTTCATCATGATAACGCTAGACCTCACACATCTTTAGCCACTCAGCAAAAATTAAGTGAGCTTGGCTGGGAGGTGTTAATGCATCCGCCGTAGTCCTGACCTTCAGATTTCCACCTGTTTCGGTCTCTTCAGAATTCTTTAGGCAGTTTCAGGTTAACATCACGAGAGGATTGCCAAAACCAGTTGTCGCGGTATTTTGATCAGAAGCCCTAAAATTTCTATAGCAATGGGATCGTGTCCCTACCTACAAGATGGAAAAAAGTTATCGAACAAAATGGTACCTACATACTTTAGTCAAATGTAAATGAACTATATTAAAAAATGTTGTGAATTTTCTTAAAAAACGCGAAGAAACTTTTTCCCCAACCTACTATACCACAGCGCTGCTGTATTAATGACCCAAATCCGATGTTTTATTAAATTTCAATGTGACTTACCTTCAGGAGAAGTCTGTATTCCTTTGCGCGTCTTGTCTGGTGCGTGTGCAATGTCTGCAGGTGCGGGCGCGGAGACCGTGGAGGCGCCGGCGCCGGCCACCGCCACCGCCGCCGCCGTCGCGCCGCCCGTCGTACTGGCGCCTGTCGACGTGCCGGGTAACGCCGGAAAATCTTCCGAAGACATTGTAAATTCTGATTGTTCCGATGTCGGCTGCTTCACCATACCAACTGTTTTAAAATTTTACTTTTACACATATTGTGGGCTAAAGTCACACGGACACGTTGCGAGTGCCATGTGAGCTACTGAGTACCCAGAATATTCAACATCATCATGTTCCATATTGGTTTTCTAGATTAAAAGTTGAGGTTTCTAACTCTCACTCTAAAAAAAAATTTTGGTGATGTTTTATTATGACGTCTATGTGCTATATCGTTATTGTCTTAGAGTAATGATGTTGAAAGTTACATTTTGTGAATTTTCTTTTGACTTCCTTTTATAATCTATGAAGTGTGTTTGCTCACCATAGGGTTTAGAGCCCGGAGGTGGTGGTGCTGTAGTGGGTGCTTGGTCACCCGCGCCTCTTGCTGTTAGTGATGGAAATTCGCTTAGGTCCAGAAGTGGTGGTGTTGATGTATCACCACCTTCACCAAAAACTGAATGGTAGTTGTTGCCAGCGTTGAACCGTGACAGATTACTCATACTCGACTGTAGAAACAAAATATACCCTTTAGTCTCATTTTTAAACATCTATTCTAAAATGAAATAGTATTATAAATAACTAAATTTGTATAAAAAGTAGGTAAATGTGTTTTATGATCAAAGTATAGGCAGAATAAATATTCATAATTTAGGTTTAAAGTAACTATTAAAATTAAATTCTTAACAATAAACAGGATATAGAGAAAAAATTCTCAAATGTGCGTATTAATAATTAGATAGTGTGTACTGCAGTTTCTACTAGTCTTAGACACAATAAGTACTTAGTTAGTTTTTTCTTAATAGTTTAATCTTAGATTTATTATTTCCAAACTTCAAACTTTTCTTTGGTGTTATTCAATAACATTTGAAAATTATGCTAACATTCACTCATCATTAAATTTTTATCACTTATGTTTGATTGCTAAAACTAAAATAAATTTACACTTAGCCCAGCAGGCAAGTTTTATAGATTTTCTGTAATAAAAATTTATTTTATCTTTTCCGATAGACAACTAATTTCATAAATTGTGTTCTCCTAATAAAACTATAAGTAACAATGAAGTTATTTGATTTAAAAAAAGGTTGTAGCTTCATTTTAATCATTACAAAGTGACTGTAATGCTTTTTATAAAATCAGAAAGAGTCAGGTAGATAATGACATTTCATTCTTTACTAACAAAATAATTAAAACAAGAACTGCAGAACTAAAGTTAAGTCTAACTTAACTAAAGACAAGCTCTACCAAAACTAAAACATGTTCTAGATCTTCATAAAAATTATCTTAATATCAATGTAAAATAAAATTTGTTGACTGGTAATTAAGATCTTAAGACAATAGATAACGAAAGCAATCAGACCTCTAAAATATTGTATTAGGAAAATAATAAGGTATTGGTAGAGAAGTTTGTTTTTCTACTTCACCAAAGATGTGACCACCCTTGTAATAATGGCAATAATGTCAGTTTGCCTGATTCCACATCTTTTAAAAATAGCTGGGGCTAATTAGATATATTATAATAAAAACTAGACGTTTGTCTGAGATGAACTCCAGAACTATGTAATCAATTTATGACTTTTTTTTCACAAAAATGTGCTTTATTACAATTTTAAAGATATGACAGCTTTTATTTCAATATATAATAACAATATTTTTTGTTGCTAATTAATTATTTGTGTAATTTTCAACAAAGGAATATATCGACGCTTGAAAGGTAAACGTGACTAAGCGACAATGCGTGAACTTTACAGTAGACTAATTTAAAGTTGAAATACCTGAGAAAAATTCTATTTTAACGAATCTAGCTATAGGATTGAAATAATTTTAATATACCTAATAATATATTTGTTTTTGCGCATCGAATATGGTTATTGCCTATCATTTATGTACAAAGCAATTATTGTCGCTTAGTCACGTTTGCCTTTCAAGTATCTATATACTCTTTGACCTCCTTAGGTTTCTAACAGAGGGTGGTGTAAGTTAGCTGACATGATGATTTACTTCAAGGTATGTCTGAATTTAAAGTCTAAGCATTTAATTTATTTAAGTAAAGTTCATTGATATTTATATTTATCAGCAGAAAACACTAATTTGATTTTTAGCCATATAGACAATTAATATTTTAAAATACTTACCATTGAATTAGAATTAGCTTGAGATAAAGTTGTTGGCATTGTAACCCTTCGGTCTGCAAAAGCTCGTTGACCAAACAGCGTAGCTCTAGATGCCATTGATGGGGGAGCTCCGCCTGGCATTGCAGTTGAATTACGGCCAGGCGACAAGGCGCCCCCAAAAGTTGGTGTCACATGTCCTGAGACACTACCAACAAGACCTGAGCTCACTCTGCCTCCAACGCCACCAACTCCGCCACTAGCTAGGCTTCGAGGCACTTGTTGAAAATTCAAGTTTGCCATAACCTAAAAAAATAAGGCTTTTTACAATATGATATAATTATTGTGGGTAACATTGCCCTAAGCATGTCATTACGGATCTCCCGATCCATTAACGGTGCTTTTAGGTACCTTAAGCACCGGCCACCATCCTCTCTGAACCCACGCAACCCACTGCTTGTGACGAAGGGCTCGATGAGTAAATTAACCCATAAACATAGCCCACTGAGTTTCTAGTTGGATCTTCTCAGTGGAAGCTGAAATATCTCCCTCTGCTAGCCTCTCAAGGCTATTAGCATAGGTAGGGAAAAAGGATAACATCTTTATGCTACATTTACCGGAAACCTGACTTGTGCCTAGTGAATGCTTAAATTTAATTTAGTTTTGATCTAGAACATATAATGTTTCTTAAGCAAAAACACCCATCTACTTGGTAAAAGTTTCTCTTAATAATATATAATAGATAAATGACTACACACCAATGGACTATAATCACTTAGTGGACATATTTAATAATTTTACAGAGGTATTGTCAAGGAAGTGTGAGATGAAGTTGATGTAGAATAAAATTTATTCAGATTCATACCTATTTCATTTACAATTTCAAATATCATGTTCCAATTTTATAAGCAGATATAATTTTTATTGCTCTTACATTATCAGTATCTGGTTTGTATTGTGATTTTAGAGTTCATTTATAAGAATAATTTTCACAGTTTAAGTATTTTTAAATATTGTATTTACCTCATTTTGCACAAGTAATTACAGTATGTTGACACAATGGTTATATTAAACGGAAAAGCAGTTAAATTCTGTGCCAATATGTGCAGAACCTCTGAATACAATGTTTGTTGTAAATCAGAAAAATTGTTATCAAGTTTGAGACAAAAGAGATCAATTTTGTGTGACTCAACTCTATGGAATATGGACTATAAATATATAATATAAATAAAACTAATATTTAAATCATGGAGTAATCGGTTGTAAAGTAGTTGGAAATGTGAAAGAGAAAGTAGAAGGAATACTTATTAACTATATATGGAATTGCATGCTGCTTATTATTAATTTAAACTTTGGTTAAGTGTATGCATGACGTATGAGAGAGATGATAGTTGAAGAGCATCACAAAACTGTTTTCAGTTGAGCATATTATACAGTAGAGAGGGTATGGAGAATGTAATAAAGATCAGTAAATGACTTAGTTGCCCCTGTCAAACAATGGCGACAATTTTTGTTGTGATGTTGTTGGGCTCACTTTGAGAACGTTGTCAATATTTACCTATTATCAGTCCTTGTTCAACTATTTTATAAAGAATAAGAATGGTTCATAATCGCGTATACTCTGCCAAGATAAATATTTCCGCTTCGATGTAATAAACAAGATTTGTTGACTGTCCAATTTTGATGTTTTTTGTGCATTCAAAATTTTAAACACCAATATAAATGGTACATAAAACTGTCTTCGCGTAAAACGCTGCTATAAAACACTGTAAACTTGATACATCTTTACGTCACTGATAAATGTTTTAAAATTTTCATACGATTTCGCTGAACGCCACATTACCCTAAACAACAGGCGGCCATATTGTTAAAAGGTTGAAGAAGCAGACGGAAATTATCAAAAAGCTTCAAAATCAGGCCGTATGAATTAGTTTGTTAAAAAATTAAAATAGTTTTGACAATTTTATTAAATAGTTTAAATAGTATAAATCGTTTTGTCTCTTTATTATAGGTCTGTCATTTAAAATTTATACTAATATTTTTAAGAATTTACAATAAAATTATTTAATTTACATTACTATACTACCCATACTAGTGCAGTCTGTAGCATCGTTACTGTACATAAACCTGCTTAGACGTGTATTTGATTAAGAGTTTTATAAGACTCTACAGCATAACAATAAGTAGCAAACCTGATCTTCATGAGTTTGGCTACTGTGCCTCGTAGAACTTCGTTTCTTCATTTCTTATCTTTGTTCAGAATTACTTTAAAAAATCTCTAAATTAGGATTAACACAATTATTTTTTAACTTAAAGCCTTATTTTTTAGATCATCTAAACTTCACAACCATTATTTGAAAATTATAAACTACCCACCCTCCCTTGTCTAAAACTAAACTATTCCTGCAAAGTGCCGGAAGCTTGGTGGATCATTCATCTTTCCTAATGATTCCGATAGGTGAACAGATGAATGGATCGGACGGTCTCATTATAATAAAACCCAACCAAAAAATATTTTAGACATAACTGAAAACGAGTTCGAGTCAGACATCTATTATCTTTCCTGAGGTGTTTTCTGTATCACTGTGAATACAACATTTCCGGCAGATTGGATGGCGTTTGAAAGCAATCTACGCACACATTACGTAGACTACAATCTAATGAAATTTAACTATAGCAAATATTTGATTCTTCGTCCTTTTCTAAATCTTACATTAGTAAAAGAAAATTTTAAACAAGGAAAATGTATACGGTGTTTAAGATTCAGATCTTCGCGAATACTTGGATTTAGAAGCGATTCGTTAATATCTGAAGAGAACATCAGAACCTTTCTTTGAGGAAGCTGCACGGCGTAATAGCCCTCTTATCGTAGCCGCCGTAAATTACATTCCCGACCTATGTATATGATGACAACGAACAATCGTCGTCGCCTTATTCGATCCAGGCCTTCGGCCTTCTTTAACCCAGTCTCAAGTACCCTCCACTAGCCTCGTAAAATCGAAGCTTAACTGAGAGTACTGAACCCCTATGGCACCCACTGAGTTTCTCATTGAATCTTGATTCGTATCTGGTAGTAGATTCAGCGAAGTATTGTACTCGCCAGAGCAGTGTTAACCATTTCTTTCAGGTAGAGGTCTGTGAGCTCGCCCACCACTGGCATTGGTACAGATGGGTAGAAAACCGTTAAAAATACATTTTACCTAGTTCAAATTCACAATTTACAAAAGCAGTTAAATTGTGGATTTCATTTCAAAACATTAACGAAAATATTTAAGGATCGGGTGCACATTGCTGTTATTGCAGATTTAACAAACTTTCGACAACGGTCAGAAGACGGTCCCTCGGTGTGCTTAGTGCAAGTTTTTTAACTTCTCAATTGCGTAAAAGATCTCAAATTTGTATGTAGTGGAAACAGTGCCTCTGGCGGCAAACATGGGAACGCTATCTGATTCCAGAAATTTTATAAAGCTAATAGCTAAAAAAAGTTTATTATATCTTATTTACATACATAGAACAAAATCAAAAAGTTTTTCTGCGTGCTTTATGACTAGCGACCAGAATACGGCTTCTGCCTACCTAATTCTTACCATGACATGGGGTAAATTGGGATCCTGGGGTAAATTGGGACAAACCTGCGGAAGATTCTCAAAGTACTTGTAGCACGGAATCTACCTAATTTTCTTTAAGGTAATATTTATCAATGTATAGAAGAAAAACCAAGTTAACTATGGAATCTACCCGATGATATGTAGGCGAAGTAAAATGTCCCTTAGAAATAAGGTGACACTCTACAAAACTTGCATACGCCCCGTCATGACCTATGCAAGTGTAGTGTTCGCTCACGCGGCCCGCATACACTTAAAATCCTTTCAAATTATTCAATCCCGTTTTTGCAGGATAGCCGTCGGAGCCCCGTGGTTCGTCAGGAACGTCGACCTCCATGACGACCTGGACTTAGAGTCCATCAGTAAGTATCTTCAGTCGGCGTCCATGCGCCACTTCGATAAAGCGGCACGACACGAGAACCCTCTCATCGTGGCCGCCGGTAACTACATTCCCGATCCTGCGGACAGAATGGAAAGCAGTCGACGTCGCCCTAAACACGTCATCTCGGATCCTCCTGATCCACTAACGGTGCTTTTAGGTACTTCAAGCACCGGTCACCGTTCTCGTCGAACCCGTCGCTTGCGACGAAGGGCTCGACGAGTAAATTAACTCTCAGACACAGCCCACTGAGTTTCTCGCCGGATCTTCTCAGTGGGTCGCGTTTCCGATCCGGTGGTAGATTCTGCGAAGCACGACTCTTGCTAGGGTTCGTGTTAGCAACATCGTCAGGTTTGAGCCCCGTGAGCTCACCTACTAAAGTTA